GATTTTTGTTTCTGTTCTCCAGTGTTTTCAAAACAGTCTTGAAATGAAACAAAGGGAAGGGAATGTATCGGGAAATTTAAAAAAAAAAAAAAAAGGAAAGAAAAAGAAAGAAAAAGCACAAGCTACATTTTAGGCTCACAAAACAAACTGAAATAAAAGATGTTGAAGTGGCATCTTCTTGGCTCGACTTTCTCCTCCTCCTCTCGGGAGCGATGGATTTACGAGAAGGTTAAAATGTTTGACAGTGGTTAAAGAGGCAGCAAGAGCCGCTGCAGGATGTTTGTTTTTTAGCAATTTCATTCGTTCATTCATTCTTTTCGGTAACTCGTTATTCTTTTCTAAAACTACCTCTTCCCTCCCCTTCTGCTGGTCTAATCGCAGGTGACCAACAAGCTTTGATTTGAATGAGACCGTTTAAAAGAAGGGGAGGAAACTCGCCTCGCTAAAACTGGTCTGACGCAGCGATGGGTGTCCATTGCTGGCTAACACTAGCTTTCACTCTATCAGGTTACAAGTCCTTTCACGCTCTTGTTTAAGGAATCTAGTGGTCAAAGTTTTTCTCAGCGTGATGGGAGTCTACTTGGACACTTGCTGCTGAATGTGCTGCAGGAATTCATGATAGGAAGAAGCCCACTCTGACCGGTCCTCCACCAGGTGCTGGAACAAAGTGGCTTTAGCCGAGGCATCATCTCTGCGGGAAGGGAGGAAAAAAATGCATTAAGGGAAAGAAGAAACTGGTTTGTACATTTTAATGCTCTGTAAGTCTAAGAAGTGTTGGAATCTATTCCACATAACTTGAAGCATTGCTGACACGTCAGCTCTTAAACACAACACTCTCCTGCATCTTCTACCTCACTGACTCTGAACTGACAGCTGTTCGTACAAATCCCCAGCATGAGAGTTTTTCTCTAAGAGAGTTTGCGGAGCCACCTCCTCAGGACCACCTATTCAGCAGTCAGAGCCAAAGCCCTCCCTGCCTGGTTTTTTTTCATCTTCTTTTTTTTTTTTAAATGTCTGTCTTTAATTTCAAAAAGACATCCATGAAGGACGAGTTCCCAGGCTGCGCGAGACGTTGCTGGCTTCTCTAACCCGACTTACAAGAGCAGAAACTGAACGTCTGATCTGACGTCTGGTTTCTCTCTCAGAGCTCGCAACTGCTTGTAGTCAGACCTTGGCTTTACTTTGAGAAATATATTCCCAATGCAAATAAACAAAACAAAAAAACAAAACAAAACTGAGATTTGCCAGAATGAAATGTTATAAAAGTGACAAAACAAGAGCTGTTAAGGAGCCGCCTTGAGCTCTGGAGATAATGTGGTGTGATATTTTTATTTATTTGACATTTAACAGGCTTTAGAAAGTCCCGCATAAACAATAAAGATGTAGCTCTCTGCTGCTTAGCCGTCTTCCTCTTTCGCCCCTTTGTTGCTATGCTTATAAACAGCTCATTGCGCACCTCTTCATTGTTTAACTGATACCTACAGTGTGTCTAAAAAAAACAGAGATGACGGTCTTACGTGTAAATGTCATTCTGCCACGTAAGCGCTCTGGCAGTAACAGGCACACAGCTTTGATGTCTGGACCAAAAAAGGGGGAAACACCATCAACAAGGCTCAGACGGAGCAGAACATGAGCTCAGTCACACCAGGACATACTTGTACATCTACGCAGAAATACAGGGGTCGATGCTTTAAATGTACTTTTTATGCTGTAGTAATCTCTCTGAGCCAAAAGTTCAGGTTGCAAACGACCCTAAAAGCTGTTTTCTTCTACTCTTTGCTCTGTATGATCTCACAGAGAGCAGGATTGGCTAACACAGTCACCTCAGGCAAAGCTCTGGCCAGTCAGAAAAAACTGGCTTAAAGGGAGAAAACCCTAAACAGCTTGTGTCACCCTGGGAATAAACTGGGTGCATATCCATGAGATGAAGTCTTTAAATGCTTTGTCCCTTCCTTCACGGAGCATCAAATAACACCAGGAGTCTTTCAGAAACATGGTGTTAATTCTTAAGGCTTTTAATCTGAAAAGTGACGTATTTTTTATGCCATTCTAGTGTCCGACTTCCTGTCCACATCATTCTGAATGATGTCGAGTTGAGAGCTGCTTCTGGGACACTTCTGAAATGTTGAAGTACAATCTGATAGAACTGCAAGCCATCATTTCATGTAGAAGGGTGGATTATTGTGAACTATGACTCATGCAGAGCTACTCTAGCAGAGATCAAGTCCAAACACGGAGGTGGAAATGAGGAGAATAGATCCCTTTTAACTATACATCCATTGGCTTCTCTGTCAGGTGCCCATCCGCTTTTTCAAATATTCGAACATTGCTTCCCTGAATATTTTAGCCACTCTTTAAAGTTCTTGCACTTTTAATATCATTAAAAAAAAAACAAAAAACATATCAACAACTGAGAGGTTCGAGGTCACAGAGAACTTGAAACCACTTCAAGAGCCATTTTTAATTCTTTTGTCAAATCTCTCTCGTAGTTCCTGTCATCACGCAAACATCTGTTCAAATACCACTCAGTGCATTTTTACTAACATGTCATGTAAACATGTGGCTAAGCAACAATGCCGTACCACCAAGAGGAGGAGAGAGAGGAAACCGAAACAATGCGTTCCCTGCGGATGACTTTACCGCCGCTGTCAATCTGTGACCTCAATGCTCACTTTGTCTTTGTGTTTACACTTCGGAAATACTTTTCCGTCAACCTCGTGCCGATCTCTTCTATATGAAACTGTCCACACCTAGTTTCTGTTCAATGCCAATCAGAGCAGCTCACTATCTGGATTTACGAGATTCCAGGGAGGTGACGAAGCAGAAGGGCGAACTCGGAGAGGATGTGCAGTATCAGACAATCGTAATGTTCTTTATTTGCTTTATTTCCTCATGAACCTCAACAGAATGTCAGATTTAATTTGGCCAAGTAGCCGATAGATATAAAAAGGCACCTATCACATGACTGGAACATTAAACTTAACGCTGAACCCGGAGGTTCACAGGAATGAGAGATGATTCTTTTTAATTTGAAGTTTATTACTTCCAAAAATTATTGTCTACTTTTTTCTGTCAGTAATAAGCCAGCTCAGTGTCCAGTAGTAACGGCTCACTGTGCAGCTGTCCTGACACAGCATCCACAGAGCCTGTGCTCCAGTTTAAGTGAAGTTTTAGGATTTCGTCAGTCTCTTAGTTCGCACTCATTAGCAGGTGTCTTTGTGTACAGTTTAAAAACACAGGTTCAGGCTAACATGGCGGTGGCCAAAACACTAATGCTGAACCTTCAAAATGAGTCCAAAACCAGTGGTTGATGCCACGATAGGTTGCCCTGTTAGGAATTATATTTCAAATCAAGGATGTCAAAGTTATGTTTGAGTCATCAGATAGTGTGAGGCTCTGCATCAAGGTCTGTGTGCCTGCAATCTTTTATGACATGTGAGGCCCTGAGGCGACTTTAAACAAGTAAAACAGAAATGACTGCTCGCTTGGGGTCAGCAACTCTCTGTGTTCCCAACAGAGCACAATCCCTGCTTTACACTTCAAACCTCAGTTTTCTGCAGTTCCGTCTTTGGCGACAGAGCAACTCAACACTTTTTCCTTCAGTGACCTCAGATTTTGTATTAAAGCAATATGTGAGATCCATTTCACGCAATTAAAAAAAAGAACAAAACAAGCTGTCTATGTATATCTGTGACTGCCCTGAAGAAGAAGCACAGTTTCCAGTGTGTTTGCAAACAGTCAGATATGAGTCCAGATGTGCGGCAGTGCTTACTTGACGACATGTATCGTGGAGCTGAACGCTCGGTTGTCGTGGAGCCAGTCGAGGAAAGCTCGCACCCTCTCAGAGAGAGGAGTCTCCAGCTCCGGAATGTGACTCTAGGAACCAAAGAGGACAAGAGGGGAAACAAAACAACAACGCTGTTGTTAGTGGCATGTTTCAGATAGCGCAGATTCACACAGTCAACCCCAGCCATACAATGTGGTTAACGGGAACATGCCTGTGGTGGGGAGTGTGGGCTTGTAGGTGGATCTATGAGGCACTGACCCCTTGCTAGAAAGATAAAATAAGCATAAACAAGTGCTGACTCGCCGTTTGCTCTGGGTGTTGCCATCACGCCCTCGGCGTGGTAATGACAGAACTTTCTAGGTGGCTGCACAGTTTGTTAAAAAAGCAGAAAAGCTACATCAGCAAGTCTGTTCTGCTGGACAAGTTGTTTTTTTCTAACTAAGTGAACAGAAACACAGCTCCTTCACTGTGGAGCTCAACTGTGAGTCATTTTCAGGGGAAACAAAATGTCGCATTGCATCATTCAGCCAGCGACTGGGCGGCGCACACACGCGTGTGTGTCAGTACAGACATTTCCCTAATCACACTTCTCTGTAACGTCCTGGATGTAGAGGGAAAATAAAAGCTTCATTGTACTTCAAAAGATTAATCGTCTCTTTGAACTGTTTGCATGTGTGCTTCTACTCAAATGAGTCTTACTGACCATGTTGGGGGGAATTGAAGCGTAGTTCGGGCAGCCCAAAACATCTCGGATGAACATTTCGTTGCAGCACTTGCCGATCCACAGATAAAACACCTGGACAGGCAGAAGAGAAGAGGAGCATTACCGCACAGTATACTTTCTACACACTCTGACATGTGTGCGTCTTAATCTGCCATAACTAAAGAGCCAGCAGGGCCAATGTTATTAATATCACCACTCTAAACTATGACAGTGAAGAAAAAAAATAACAAAACAATTATAACAATAATTTTCTCTTTTAGTTTTTTCTAGGGTTTTTCCCTTAAATTTCTATTTCTTATCAATTCCCCCCTTGGTATGCATCCCCCCATAAATTTGACTGTTTTTCTCATAAATGTTTTTTCCTCATAGATTATAAATTTATAATTCTTTCTCTTAAGCTTGAGTTTTTTCTTGTAAGTTTTTTTTATTTTCAATAAATGTGTGGCTTTATGTTTTGCCTTGTTTGTTTGTTTTTTGTAATATTAAAACCCTCCCACCTTTTTAAAAAAAATCTTTATTGCCACCAAATACGCCATTGCACTAGTGAGAGGTTCACTCAGAAATTAGATTTGGTACCAAGTTTAAACTTCAAACATCTAACTACCCTCCATTTATTACTGATACTTTCCAGTGATAGTCTGAAGATTGGAGTGTTTTGGTTTCTTTCTGTATTTAATTTGCTGCAGTGGAAAGTCCCTTTAAATTAAATTATGTGACATTAAACTTAATGAAAACTGGGCTCCAGTGCTGCTGCTGATGTTACTCCGAGGCAAATAATGAGACGATAAATCCCAACTCCAGTCCTCAAGCCATCACATATTATTTCAGGCAAAGACAACTTCTCTTTGATTTGCTCTAAATTATGACCTAAGGTTTATTGCATTTTATTAAAGGACTAGATGGTGAGAAGACAGAGACGTGAAAAATATAAACGAGGTGAAATAAAGACTTCTCGGAGCTTACGTTGCCACAGTCCATGAGGAAAGCTCCATCTCTGCTCAGCCTCTCAGCAGACAGGTGGAGCAGATGAGGCTGAGGGACTACGGTATCGTTCAGATGAAGCGCCCCCTGCAGGCCAGACAACTTGTGAGCAGAGTATAAAAACAGCTCTACTATATACATGTGCAGACAACATATACATAATAATTACATAGTGTCACAGGTAAAGCTCCCAAAGCTTCAAACAGAGAGCATACAAACATTAAAGTCTGATATTACCTCATTTAAAATATGTCTCCACTATAATATAATCTTCATAATTCTTGTTATTACAAGTGTTTAAAAGTAAATGTTACACGTGAGACTATTTTCACATTTTTAAATACAACTTTAAAAGAAACATTCAGTGAAAAAAAAGCTGATGCATATAATGCAAATTAAAAAATAAACACTAAAATAAAAGATTTAATCACGTTTATTATGACATTTCTGTCATTGAGTTAAATCCTTGTTGTTCTAAAAGATACCACAAGCTTAAAAACACAGTTTCCTCATAAACATTTCAAGTCATCTGTTTTAACTAGCAAAAGCAATCCCAATGATCCCAAACCAATTTTCACCAAACTTTTTGTGAATTTCCAGAGAAAACAAGCAGACTGGCTTTGCTCTTAGTCATCATAATGTTCAGGATTAAGGCTCTGATGTGACACCTTACCAGATGCTGGGATTCCAGTGTTTTTAGGCAAGACATCTAAGTTATCTAATGTATCTTATCAGCTCACTGTTACATTTAACCACTTCGCCAGGTATAAAAAACAACCTAAAAGAGTGAGTCAAGCCATTAAGCACAGGTTTAATAATAAAGTTGCACTGCATACAGAGATATATATGTTAACGATGTTATGTTAATGGGTTAAATAGTAGTCATTTTGTTTTTCCCTCTCTCTACTATTCTTTAGTGCACTGAGTTATGAGAAAAGCCATCTGCATCCCACCTGGTCAGAGATGTTGTCCAGTCGGTAGAGGTCAGGATGAACCATTCGCATCAGCTGCTGCAGCGGCTGAGTCTTGAATTCGCACATGGCAAAGACCCGCTCGTCCAGCCTCGTGCTGGTGCCCGTCCGCAGGGCTTTCTGAAAGCAAACACACATCACATCAGCAGTGTTGGATTTGATTTCTCTGATTTATTACGTCAAGAATAAGAATAAAGTTCAAAGATCTATAAAAATTAAAAATGCAGAGTAAAGCTTTTGCCCCATTTGCAGAGTAAAACAAATCCTTTTGCTAAAAATGGAGAATTAAACTGCAACAAGTTCAGACAAAAACATTGTGGTAACAGTTTAACCTTTAATCACCAGGAATAATAGGCCATAATGTGCTTCTTTCAATTAAACAGTGATGTTTCCGAAGTTTATTCTCTGATTCATCAAAGGAACACACTGTTAGAGTCCCACAAACACCTACAGGGAGGATTTGTCTCAGAAACAGGGTGTGTATGTGCTTCTGAACATGGACACACCCTGGATGTATGAATGCACACATGCCGGGTGGATTAATAGTCTTTAACCCAGGCATTGTGACTGTGAGCTCACACTTTTCTACTGTGTAACATTTGGTCAGAGGGTGTTTTGTTTTTAGGGTTTGTACTCAACTACATCTTAAAATGCGTAATAACGTTTTGCAGGTTTAGTCAGTAAAACAAAACTCTCTCCTTTTACCTCAAAGTGAATTTAAAAAATAAAAAATAAAAACTTTCCAGAAGAAGTCTGCTAACAGGGAAAAGTGGAGGGCTGCATGCTTAAACACACATTCACAGCCTTTTCTTCTCCTTCTTTTTAGTGTATGTCATGCTGTGTGACGCGTGTGTGTTCATGTGCCGATGACAGTCAGGCAGCCGCACCTGTTTAAGGAGAGCAAGGATGTAGAGGGGGAAGAGACGCATGGCTGCAGGGAGGACAAGTCCAGACTGCTGAAGGTTGGAGACGTTGCTCTTGTAGGCGCTCCCCAAGTCCACCACCGCATTCACCAGCGCGTCCCGGGCGTCCGACAGGCTGGATGATATCGATCGATCGATGGCTGGATTGAAAAGACCAAATGAAGACTAGTTTACCTCCAAGACAGCATTTTAATCAGTTCTGAACACAAAGTTAAGTTAACAAAAGCCCAGAGTACGTCCTGATGAGACATGTTTACAAACTAGGGCTGTGCGATATGATGAAATATATCACATGACAAAATGAAAACATCGTTTCAAATTATTTGCTATCGTTTGTTTCGTGGTGGCGCAAACTACGCTGTTTTTCATTGTGGCACAGAGAATACCAGCATTGCCAGTGAAGATGAGGCAGAACCAGGTAGCTCCAAACAGAAGGACCAGTCAAAACAAATCCAGGACCTTATTCCTAAACGGGGTTCTACCTCTGTAGCATGGACATGGTTTGGTTAAGGAAAGTCTGACACGGACTAGAAAATTGTACCATGCAAATTATGGCGCAAACCAGTCCCCACCACAGACTCAAACACAACAAACCTCTTCTACCACCTACACAATAACCACGTGAAAGAGTGTGGAGAGAGTTTGCAGATGAGAAGCAAAACAGAGCCGACAGGTGCACAAAATAAACCTTAGACTCAAACGTTAGAACAGGCTTTTCCCCGCAGCACGCTGTGTAATAAATACTCAAAGAAAATGGCGGCTGTTGCAACTTCTATCTAAAAATATATAGTTTTATGCATGGGTCAAAACACTCAACTCCAGGTACACGACGCCAAGCTGAAAACACTTCACACAAGTCGAGTTGCCCGAGTTCGAAAACGTAAAATTTTTGCGAGATATTTCTCATCCCGATAACGAGATGTCTCATATTGGGATATGAGATTTTGGTCATATCGCACAGCCCTATTGCAAACATTTTCATATTTATGTGGGCATTGTGTGTCTGTGGGACAGGCAAACTTTGCACTCTTCAGCTCCAATGCACAACCTCTAGGGAAACAGCGGTGGTCAACATGACCCATACAGCCACTCTGCACAGACTGAAATAAACCTTTTAATCATTAATATAAAATGCACATGTATACGAATGTGACTCTTGAAACAGGAAAGACCTGGCTTACAAAAAGCTCTCTGTGGGTTATATACCACCACACAGGTATCGCTACGTTTCCACCCAGGGTTGGTATTTAATTCCAACTGACTGCGTGTTTTATGAAACCCGATGGAAACTTATTCGATACATTTTGATGCATTTTTTTCTGCCAACTTTTCTGGAAAAAAACACTGACAATATCACTTTATCACTCTAATATTTTTAACATGTTATTGGATTTGTGTCAACCACGGGGAGGCTAGAGGCCAACTTTCATAAATGTGTAAAAAGTCTTAGGTTAAAGGTACTGCACATGAAAAGGCGTGAAAGCCAAGGATTTAAGCTACACACTTACCCATGTTGGCTAACAGACAAGTGATGGCTTGGACGTCAGCACCGGCATACACGTCACTCAGCTGACTGACCACCGGCAGACACAGAGTGTGGACTCTGATACGTCTCTTTCCTGCAGATGAATTAATAACAGTCCCGTTTTCAAGATCTTTAAAGAATTTCAACCTAAATGTGTTACCATGAAAATGAGTCATTCTTGTGTATACCTTTACTCGACGTGTAGAGCAGAGCAGCCTGGAAGCAGGCCAGAGACGAGTCTGCCAGAGAGTCTTCGACTGACATCTGGACAGCGAAGGCAGAGTCTGGGTTCACATTGGCCAGGGACAGCAGGTCAGTGGAGCGCACAAAGAAGTTACCGTGAAACGTGTGGATGGATAAACCTGAAGAGGAAAAAGGCAGGGACAAAACTTGTGTTTGACACAGAAACATTAAAACGTGCATGAAGCTGCATCTAATCTGATTACCTTTAGTGCATCTTATTCTCATGACCGCCTCAAAGCCGATCTTCCTGGTGAGGTAGCGCTCGAGGTCTCTCTGGAACTTTTCCAGCTGGGCCGGGTTGTGGATGTGATGAAAGGAGGGATAGTAAAAGACGCTGCCTGCTGAATACCTGGAGATACATGCTGAGAAATAAGAAAAACAGGAGAGGATCGACATTAAGAGAATTACATGTGATTATCTTCAGTCTGTGAAGACTGGGAAGAAGAGTTCAAATACATCATTATGATGTGTGTGATTTGTAAATAATGCCTTAATCCCACACTGGACTGAATTAAAGATTAAATAATTCAATACACAGATAATATAATATTAAATATGACATAAAGATGAAGAAAGCAAATAGGTCGATGATGGCGAGAAAGCAGTTTAGAATAGGTTTCTCCTTTATTAGCCAGAAATAAGCTGTTAGGAGATTTGGTATCCGTGTCAACAGATGACCTGGTGTGTGGTTTAACAGATAAAACAAGGTTGATAACACTGGTAACACACTTTCTGGATGTTATCACTTGAGCCGAGGCCTGAGCTTCTGCAGGACATTTTCTTCGAGGCAAATTATTTCCAGTCTCCTGAATCACATGTTAGCTGCTACTACTACTACAGCAACAGCAAAACAACAAGCTCTGACGATGATAAGCTGAAGAACCTGAGTGCAGCAGCAGTACACACTCAGAAATTTGAACCAAACCACAAAATGCTCCTACAGGGTTATTTTAAAGCGATCTGGTTTAAAGTCTACGTTTACAAATCTGTACAAAAAAGGAAATATATTATAAAAAAAAAAATAGAATAAAAAAAATATAGAATATAAAGAATACTGGGAGCCGATTTGCTCATTAGCATTCATAACATAAGCAAAAATGTTGACACTTTGGATACATGGACAACATGAAAGATGCCAACAGCTGACTCAATCATGCTCTCACCTAATGAGGCGAGGTCGGCGTACTGGGAGCTGAGGAGGAAGAGATCCACTCCTATCTGTTGTCCTGAGCAATCCAGTGCAAGTTTCTTGTAGAAGTCAGTGGCAGGACCGAGGTGGTGGGCTCCCTGAAAGATATGAGAGTTATTACCAGCAACTCCTCATTTTGATCACAGGACTGAGGGAATGGGGACCTTCCTGACAGCAAAAAAAGACAATATAATATCTTTTTCCCCCGAGCAAACCAAGCACATCTGTTATTTGTCATTTTCTTTTTGGAAACTCTTATCATGACTTGTTGGCAGTTTATTCAGAATAAAAAAAGAAGATGCTAAACTTGAATAAATCACAATCCTGGGATGACAATAACAGTGGGGTTTAATCTGAGATGAAATGTGAGACAACGTTGGGACAGGTAAGAAAAGTGAGCTGTTGCAGGAAAGTATAAATACAACTCAGCTGTGAAAATGCCAGGACACAAAGTACTAATCTTTGGCTGTACTTCATCTGTCATATGGTTCAATTTAAGCTTCACAAGTCACAATGCAGCCATGATTTAAAACTCCCATTTGATGTGAAAAATATAAAAATTAAAACAGGGCACCCGCAGGCACTCCAACTTCATGATCATGAGACAAAGTCAAAAAATACGCATGAAAAACAAACACCATGAACATACCGCACAGAGGTAGGAAATAAGGATGTTTCTATTTATGTCTCACTTATCAATAAATATCTAAATAAATAAAATAAATATATAATTAAATAAGGATCTGGCAGTTCAGGGTGGTGATTATTAGCCGTTACAGATGAAGCACAGCAGCCCACTTTACACTAAAACAATCTGTTCATTAAACATTCGACGGCTTGCTGTGTCCAAACTTTTCACTGTTAACATCCAAATAAAGACAGAAATAAGAAAAAGGATGTTGTTTAACTCCAAATAAGGAAGATATGATAAAATCCTGCATCTGCTCTTGCTCCCACTTTCTCTGGATAGTTGTTTTTTCTCATTATAATCACAAATAAAAGAAAATATAATTACCTTGGAGCTCGAACGCTGATTGGGGTCTTCTCTCGACTGCAGCTTCCCAGCTCCCAGCGTCGGCAGCTGAGTCTGGAACACCGTGATGCGGCCTCCGGTGGGTGACATGAGCTTGAAAGCGGCCTGTAAGGCAGGACCGAGGGCGCTGTGGGTCTCTCTGCTCTGGCTGAACAGCGCCGGCAGTGACTTCAGCAAGTCCTTCACCAGCTGGAGGATGGAGAAACAATACATGAGAAAATTAAAAAGAAAACCGTTTCAGAAACATCAAGAAGCAGGCACGAACATGACAGAAGAGATGCAAGGGAACAAAGCAGCACGCTCTACCTCGTTGCTCTCCTTTAGATTCACCATCAGGCTGTCATGAGATGGTATGAAGACATCTGCAAAGAAAGCAGGAAAGACTATTAATGTGGCTATAGATGATACATTTCTATCAAATACACTGAAAAGGGTCATTAGTCACTCTAATAGACCACCACCTCTGGTCTTAACTGTGTGTCAACAACTTTTGATCGTGGGTCACTGCCACAGCTCTCATGTGTTATTTTGAAGTAACTTATATTTACCATCGATGTCTGACACCACCAGCATCTGTGGCTGGGACAGCCCCTCCTGGAGATTGTAAAAGTGGATGGTGCTATCAAAGGTGAGGAAGCCCACTCTGGTACGCGAGTCCCCAGGCAACCTGCAGCAGGAAACATTGTGTCAGCCTGGTTTCTGCCTGTGACAGACGTTAATAATCAGCTTGATTAAATAGCTAACTGACAAACTCATGAAGCAGCAACATCAGGACTCACTTATCCAAGTTCTCAAGAAGTGATTCACAGAAGTACTTCAGGTATCCTGCTTCCACAGCATTGTGAGACACGTCGAGTACAAACAGGTAGGCCGCCGGCTGAGGAGGTCGCAACTGAAAAGGAACAAAAACATCAAAGATCCCTGAAGATTTGAAAATAATAATAATAATAATAATAATAATAATAATAATAATAATAATAATAATAATAATAATAAATATCTGTTTTTATATGACCTTTGCAGGTGTCACTTCTTATGCACGAGCCTTCTTTTTTTCCCTGTTTACTAAACACAACACTGCCCTCTAGTGGACCGAGAAGCAAAGTACGTGTAATATCAATAAGAGGCGTGTTTACCATGTAGTCTGAGGAGGCGATGAACTCCACAGTGGAATTCTGGACCTCTGGCCTCTTGTGTGGTTCACCGTATGACCTTGTGACTGGATTGTACATGAACTCATCTGGTACTGAACAAGAATTAAAATGGCATAAAACATTAAGGCTGCAAAACATGATTCAGCAGTAAAGAAATTGCAGGGACAATATATAAATAGCTTGACTGGACTTGTACCATCATTGACCCGGTAACACAGGTTGCACTTCCACCTGCGCTGGTCCAGAAAGGTGACGAACGGATTGATGTAGGTGCGGCAGGAGCGACAGCGCACGATCGTGTTTGATGTGATCACCGGTAACTGCTGCAGAGAGGCAAACGGGGGAAAAAGGCTTAGAGAAAGATGGACTAACTTCCAATAAAAAAAAAAATACAAAAGACGTGTTTATGAACTTTTCATCTGTCATGCCTCAATTTTTTGGCCTCCACTTTCTTTCTCCATCCCATGACCCTTTCAAAACAATCTTCTATTTATATCTCAGCAGATGGCTGAATAGCACTTTGTTTCCTTTTCTGTGAGTGTGGTTGGGAAAAAAAAAACCCAAAACAAAACTGCAGTTCTTTTCTCCTCTTTTTTTTGGTGTCAATCCATTCTTATGGCTTCCGCTGAGTCACCCAAAATTTCTCCACCTTTTCCTTAGAACAAAGTCTGTTTATCCTCGGGTACACCTGAAGGCCACAACGGAGGTTTTGGGACTACTTTCTTTCTCTGCAATTTACTAAAAACAGCTAAAAATTATTATCAGGTCAAATGCTAACATAACTATAAAATAATTGACATCTATGTTGATAAACAGTTGAGTTGAGCTGCAGTAATTAAATAAAACATGACACTGATAGACAAGATTTTGAAAACTTGTAATTTCACACTTGGGTTGGATCGCAACAGTAATGTGTTACTTTCACAGGCGAAGTAAACACAGATGTCGAGAAAAACATCTCAGTAGTGAAACCAAAATATCTTAATCACCTCTGTTTGCTGGTTCAGCTGTAAGGTTAAGCAAAAACTAAGAATTTCCACCTCTCTGGGTATTCGAGTAAATGGGTGCCAATGCTGCTGCTGTAGTGCAAAAAATTTAAATATAGCTTCATTTTTCTTGTGCCATTTTCCATCATGATCAAACACATCCTCCCTTTCTTTCTTCTCATATCTGGATCCATGCAAAGAGACATCAGTCTAAGAAGAGATGCCCAAACCATCCCCGCTTCTCCCACTTCGTCTAGGTGGTGCTTTTCAAAACAGGCAATGAATGTTAATGTCAGAGCGCAGACAGCCTTTGGGGAAAGAACAATTTCTACTAGTTGGTTAGACTATTAAACTAGACGATACCACAGTATCCTTGGGAGATCAGAGAAGACGAGGGACATGAAGTTCCTCATGATGGGGCATACACCCATATTTGGGCTGCATAAGAAGGGAGGACCTCGATGTAATACAGAGTCTCCTCAGAGACCACAAACAATGTCACAAGCTGAAGATTTAAATGCATCATAAAGCCTCACTAAACCGCCTCCAAGAAGAAAAATTCTTTAAAACTATCCGTTGACAGTCAGGATGCTCTGACGTATCTGACACCAAACTGCAGGCTCACTCCAGACTACACCAAACAGCTCACAGCTGTTTACTGAGACACTGTAGACTTGACTGACTCAGAGGAAACACCAAATTACATTCAAAATCAGGAAATACTGTGTAGGTGTAGCATATGATTCCAAAAATACATTTTCATAACATATCCTTAAACTATCAGAGTTGCCAAAATTAAAGCTGTAGGCAGAAACTGCAGAGGAGCATGAATGTCTGTTTCACACATCCACAGGATCCACACCTCTGCAGTCATCTACTGTAAAAGCAACACAGCCTGGGCAATTCTGAGATATCCTTTTGAAATACACACTCACAAAAACGATGAGCCAACAACTGACGCTCTGTCAAACATTCAGTTATTTAACTGTTAGTCCAGGAAGTCAATGCCAGCCTGTCTTTCAAGCACTTTCCTATTGTTTGTCACTTCACATCTACTGACACGTCTTCACCTCACAGCTCTATAAATACCCTCCCTTATCTGTCCTGCACCTCTTCATCGTTGTCATTCTGCTCCTCCTGCTGACTGGTCACGAGTGGAAAAAGGCGGCTACAAAGGACCCAGATAGTATTTAAACACTATGTTCCACCTTTCTTTAATGTAAAACTGTGTCGACTAATGTGAAATACCTCTGTCAGGGAAAAAACACCCTGCTCTGCACAACATATTTTGCATTTCACAGAATGAATCGATCACACCTGTTTGCTTTAACAAAAAAGTATCAGAATAAAATGACTCTTGATGAAGAAACTCAAACTATTGTCTGCTAAAAGGTACAGCAGCGTTTGTGCCCTAAACAAAGCTTTTGTATGTTCAATAAATAAATAGCAGAACAGCTTCATGCAGTGCTTGAGAAGGCAATGAAAAAAAAAAAAAAAAAGACCACACACTGCTTAAAAACAGAACTAAACATTTGCCGACATCTTAACTCCATAATACCAAAATCTGAGAAAAATGTTCTTTGAGGGGAATTTTGATGTACCTGTAGATCTCTGAAGGGGTGGAGGAGGAGGCCCAGAGGGAGTCTGGCTTTGTTGAGTAAAGCCTGGGTCTGGGGAATGCTGGTCAGAGTACACCTGAATGTCCTGATTTAAAAAAAAAAGAAGAAGAAAAAAGACAAACGAATGACAAAATATACGAAATGAAAAAAGGTTTAAATAATGCAGTAAGAAAACAAAAACCATGAGCTTAGAAGTTGAAAAAAACAAAAACAACAACCCGTAATTGTATACTACTGTTGTACTATTTTAAGAATTTATTTATTTTACTACTCTAAAGTTTCTGTGATACACTGAAAGTAAATGGCTAAGTTTAAGGACTCAGCTGCCACTCAAAATTTCCCTACACCAGACTTACTGTGGACTGCAGTTGACTTTCTTAAGGTCGGGGCTGAGGTTGGGTTCTGGAGCTTCCAAAGGTCTGGGGGGCAGCAAGTTTCTCTCCTGCAGCAGGTTGATTGGCCTCAGGGCCTCGACCTCCAGCTCTGGCACACCACTCAGCCCGCCGAGGGCTGCGGACAGCTCAGAGAGACTAGGGAAGGGCTGCAGAGAGGGACAGATGGTTTCCACACCGCGAACAAACAAACAGCTCAGCTTACAGCCAAAATTCATCAGGTGGGCTATTTTATAAAATAATGTCTGTGTAGTGACACCTTAAACATTTATTTATTAAGTCTGACCAGTCAGTCAGTTGTGGATTATGATCAAGTCTAGAAGTCTGGCAAAGTCCAGGGTCAGAATCCTGAACAGGTCTCTGACTCTGTTATAAGCCAGCTCATAAAACTAGAGCCTATCACCAGAATTGGTCAAAGCATAGGTGAAATTTAAAAGCCTACATATGCTTACTTAAAATCTAGTGGGGGCAACAGACAGTCGCTCTAAGTGATGGGTATCAAACGCAGGTTGGGTTTGCCTTTATCCAAACTTTTTACACACGAAAAATTAGACAATTTAATATAAAATCTGAGAAAATAGCCTGAAAAAAACTTTCAAACAATCCATAGATGTGCAAAATATTAATCAACATTTCTGTTGCAGGCTCACCTGTGAGTACTGCTGGTAGTTTGACTGGCCATACAGGTCGTGGGAGGGGGAGGCATCAGTGTGGGACGCTGGTCCCTGCCGATAACCTGACTGCATGCCAGGGTAACCGTAACTACCGTAGGGCTGAGCCTGGTTGGTCACATTGCTGGATGGTGGCATGGATTCTGGAAAGAAAGACAGTTCAGGAGTACAGTAGGGTGATGTTAAGAAGACAGAACATATTTAAGGTGTTTTAACATGACCAGAAAAATAAGATCACTGTGTTAATGTTGATTTTAGAATAAGTTAGAATAAGTGCCAAATTATCCCTAAACAACAAAAAAAAGCCTTTTCAAGTAGCATTTGCTGTCCCCTTTGCTGTCTCCATTAGCTTTGGTCAAACTACACAATATTGTTATCAGATTAGATGAATAAAGAGCCATAAGAGATGAGACGGTAGTATAAACATCAGGAACACTGTACCAGTAACAAACTAACAACAATCACATTTAAAGCGTTGTGAATGACACTGCTGTCTTCTGCTTAGAAAAGCTGGGTCGCATCAAAGGGAATATGTGGATTGTCTTAAAGCCCGTTTCTCCTCTCTCTGCTGTGAAAAGTTGTCACTAGATAACAGAAGACCCAAGTCTTTTTTGCCACATCAGCTGTCAGCAAATATAGCTGTGTTAACACTGCAGGAACCTTCCTCAGGGATAAGGAAAAGGATCTAAATTCAGTTCACGGAGAATTATTTTATCCTCCAAGAGTCCCTGCTTAGGAGGCAGCACTTTCTTTATATTCAAGAATATTTTCATCCGGTCATTCTCACATCTGTTTTCCAGCACTGACCTAAGACCCTACAATTCAGCTTTAACAATTGATTAAGGTTTTATAACAGATTTCATTTTATGCAAATGCCAAGTTATAAAAATATTGTGCACTGTACATATTGTCAAAGAAAAGTTGATTTACAGTTTAGACATAGCTGTGATTTTACTGAGAGTTGCTCAGGTGCATGAGGTGCAGTCTGTCTGTGATGAACACGTACCTGGATAGCTGCCACCTTCGAGGGAATCGTAGCTGTTGGGCACCGGAGAGGCACTGCCAGTAGAAGAAGAGGATGTGTCACCGCCTGCGAGAGGCAGAGAGGGGAAAAAATGAAACTCAAAAGGCATTAAAAACTATTATTATGAAGGAAAAGACAGCTTGCAAATATTACTCTGTTCAAATAAATAATGGCACAATAAAAAAAATCTAAAGACAAATGAAGTTGCTGTGTGGGAGAGAGGACGTCTGAGGACAGGACGTGTAGAGAACTGAGGGGGGGGGAGAAGATATGAGTGTGTGCGATGGGCACAGAACGAAAGACATTTTCAGCATGTTCAATAAAACCAGTTAGCTACAGGCCATTAGTGAGGACAAACCACTGGAAGCTACAGGGTGGTGCCCTGATCAGAGAAAGGTGGTTTACCAGATGTGGATTAGTCAAGTCTTATCTTTTTTTGTAATCTAAAAACCAAAATTAAATAAATTCTTTTTTGGAGAACTTTTATATTAACATCTACCATCTGAATTCAGCTTTCTGACAAAAAGGCTCCCAGTGTCCTCACAAACAGACGGGTTAGAAAACACATGCCTCAGATTCCTCTGTTCAGCCAGCAAAACTAAAGAAATGCATTAAATTAATAGCCGAGTCATTTATATTTAACACCTGGAACAAGTTTATCACCATCATCAAAACTCTGAACTTGCTTTTCCCCCCCTAGTAACCAAGTTTTTATTCCTTTTTACAATTTCTATATCTTTTCTAAACTTTTCATTTTATTACTGCCCATTTTATTTATTTTGTAGTACAGTACTCATTCAATTTTATGCCCTTTTTAAAATGTTATCTTGTGACTGACTACTTTTTGTTATAAACTAATCTGTGTTCTCTTAAAGCACTTTGTGACTATGTCAAAGTATCTGAAAAAAAAAATCACTACTACTACTACTACTACCACCATCATCATTTTCAGTTTAACTGTTTCAGTGATCAAACACTAGGCATGCCCAAATCACCCCACCTAGGAAGTGTCCAGGACACATTTTTCCTCAGAGGTCCGAGCCACCTCGGCTGGCTCGTGTCACGGCTCAACTCTGAGCTCCACCCAAATGACCGAGCTTCTCACCCAATCTAGGGAAACTCATTTCTTGTGTTTATGATGTCATTCTTTTCGTCTCTATCCACCGCTCATGGACATAGAGGAGGGTAAGGCTGGCAGCTAACTCGAAAGCTTCATGTTACGTTATTTAAAAAAAAAAAAAAAAGCATGAAGGCTTTTAAAATTATTTTTCAAATCCCTCAGCAAGCTGCCATAACCTTTCAAGAATTAATGCTGCAGTCAAAATAGCGTGTGGACTCATTTAGTGCACTGCAACACTCCCGGTTCAAATCCAACATTGGTTGCATGTTATCCAACTCCATCATATCGCTTTTCTAATTTGCTTCAGTGCCTATGAGGTAAAATATCCACAAAATAATCTTAATAAAAAAACAACAGCAAGCAAAAGGATCTTTTCGTTTTTGTCTGTTTATTCCTTGCATGTCATGTAATGAATAGGTTTTCCCAAAGGATTACATGGGCAGTAATATTTGAATGGATCCACTAATCCATGTGTGCCAAAAGGAGGGATCAACAGCAGCACACCAAGATGTGACAGGCCTCAGGGACAGAGCTCATTGGACAGGGCAAGATCCAATTATCTCAGACTAAATCGGACCAGCAGACTACTGGATTAAGCACCAGGGATGACGAGGACACCAGGAGAGCCAAGCCTTCTCCTCCTCCTTCAAGAAAATGGATACTACCAAGACTATATAGAGCTCATTGTAGCCAGTGTTGATTTGCAGTTGATCTTAAAAGTTTTAATACGAGTCCAGTTTGGACTCCACATACATTTATATTCTATTACTGCACCAGTACATGTGTAACTTAATGGTTACTGAGCCGACTAAGGCCTATTTCAAACCAGGACAAACCTTGCATGTATTTGAATACTTGATTCACACTCAGCAGTAAGACCATGACAACAACAGAGATGACACAGCAACACAAACCAAAGAAACCAAAACGCCGTCCCTGACTCCAGACAGACTTAATTAGTGATCAAACAAACAGCCAACTGAGTAACGCCTTAAACTCTAGTCGTGGATAACTTTTGTGAACAGTTACAAAATAAAGATAAATTGATCAAACATTTTGGCATATAATCAATAAGAAAAACTTGTTGTGTATCTGTATACAGATAACAAAAATGAATGGCCATACACAGATCTGAAATAAAATAGCTGTAACTAAATAAATATGAGGCAATCCAAGATTAAAATTCAGAACTACTACTGCTATTAGAAATATTAGTGTTGCTGTTGGCTGTGGTTGCCATTAGCTGCGAGGCTGGTTGTTGCTGCTGGTGTTAATAGTCGGTTATTTTGGTTGCCGACTGCTGTTGTTGATAGTAGGTGATGGCAGTATTATCAAAATGTGACAGGTGATGAAGTGATTCATCCTGATAACATACGTCTGCTGTTAGACTTGTGTTATAAATTAGTTTAATCAGGTTTGCTTAGAATGTTCATTTTTAAATGTATTTAAACTATTTTTCAACTAATAACTTGCAAGCTTTGTCCTACAAAAGTCTAAAATGCACTGGTTGTTTTCTGCTTTACTTGTGACTCTGAACCCATTTTGTTATTTTCAATATCATGATTCTGGTAAGCGTGGCTTCCTTGAATCAACAAGTGCTATTTTGCTGCAACAGACAACCTGTAAGACAGCAACACTGTGGGGAATTGATGAGAGCACGAGGGATAAACAGAAAGCTAAACCAAGCTCCTCATTTTATTAGGCAGTGCGCTAATGAGTTGTAGCAGTGCTAACAATGCTCTCTTGTGAGAAGCAGGAGAGTCAGCAAACGCATGCATAGACAGCGGGACCTATCGGCAGGGGAGTGGTTATATTTAAACATCTGTTAACCTCTGGCTGATGACACACGTCTCAGAGGATCTTTAAAGCAGAACATCTGAGAGAGACATCACACAGGTGCATGACAACAATCAGTATCATGCTGACCTGACATTTAAATTATTAAATGTAAAATAATTTATTTCAAAAAAAAAGTTACACCAAGCATTTTAGCCTTTTTAATACAATGCAAGGTTTTTTAGTACAGTGAGATTCAAGATTCAAGCGTGAGGGTCAATCAGTAGCCCCATGGACCAATAAACTTGTCAAAAAAAATCAAACAGTGAACAAACAGCTAACTTCTCCGTAATAAACCAATCTTTTTTCTCCATGTAAAAACTTCCCCCTGCAAAACAAAACAAAATTACCAGGCATGTAATAAAAAAAATCTTTTTTTTAAATAAACCTATACTGACGTTTAATCTACTCACGCATGAAACATTTCTGTTCATCAGCAATACTGAAAAGTTACTTCGTAACAGACCCCTTGCATGAACAAAGTACACTGGAGTCATTTTTTTACTTATTTGCTTCTAAATGATTTAAAAGTCCCAAAACTCACCTGAATTAAATACAAAAACAAATCTAAAACATGCAGTACATAAACCAATCCCCCCTACATCTTAATGCTTTCCCTTTACTAGAGAATGAAAGAAAACGCTTGACATTTATGTTAGAAAATATATTTAAATTCACTTAGATTATTTAAAACCTTCATACCTTTTTCCAATTTTTAAACCCAAAGATATTCGATTATATTAATATTTCCTCTCAATACATTTTTATGTCATAAGTGCTCATCTTACATCTAGGACTCATGACCACATCTAATTCAAACTCATTCCCGAGGCTATCCAGTTTACTATCAAGAGCCGTGAACAGAGTGGAAAGAAAAACACAAAATATTGATTTTTTTTTCCATCAGCATGGATAACTGCTGATAAGTGGAGGGTCCACTACAGCTGGACGATCACACCCTGAACATTACTGAGAGACAGCAAGAGCGCTGCTCAGAGCTAGACAGCAGGTAAAGAGGACGTCGTCCTGTATATGACAACGAGCACTACTTACCTGCCACCTTTCTGAGGGAAAAAAATTTCATGTTAGCTTTCAGTGATGGAACAACAGAACAGTGTGCACACACACTGAGGAGATGAAATCAATATTTTGAAAGAGGACTGATGAATGCGAGGGGGGGAAATGTTGCGCGCAGCGGGTGAACTCTGCAAGGCTGGTGACAAGGACCAACAGGGAGAAATATGATTAGCCTATTAGAAAGGAGATGGTGCTGATGATGAGCAGTGAACTGATTACAAGCGTTGGCAGGTAGAGTAGACGTGACAGATGGTAGCCAGACAGGGAAGAGGAAAATGGCGGTTATCAGAAGTGACACCGGATAGGCGGGACAGTGGAGGTGTCTAAAGAGACGTGTACACTTTAGGTTTAAGATTACTAAAAAAATAAGGAGTGGATAAGGTAGTAGCAAAAAGGTTATGGGGGAGGTAAAAGCTAGAGCAGACCTGCTTCCTCATCCTCCTCCTCCTCCTCATCGTCATCATCAGAGCTGGATGATGAGGGGGCTGCTGCTGCTGGGCCTGAGGTGTTGGCAGAGGAAGAGCTAGTGCCACTATTAGCAACATATCCATACTGCATGCCTGTTGGAAGGGGGTGGAGTGGGAAAGGTACATAAGAGAACTGTCAGGATGGGATGCATGTCATCAGACAGGGCTGTGGTAATCAGGCGGCTGGCTTCCAGTCATGTGATACGTGTTTAAGCAAAGAACAGAGTTGCTGATGGCTGGCCGCATATTTTGTCAGGAAAAACAATTAATACTACACACAGGAAAATAGGTCAGGATGATAAAAATTTAAAGCCAATGATTACAAAGGTGAAAGTCAAAGAAGGAATTTTGTTTAGATGGAATTTAACATCTACATTTAGCCTTTCTCCACCGGAGGAACCAGCATCCAATATTATGGCCTCATCGAACTGTTTTCAGAGGAGTTTTTTAGGGTTTTGGTTAGATAATGTAAACAGTTTTGATGCATTAGAGACAGACATAAGTGAAACTACTACGCAGTTGGACATATTTGACTGACCATCCAGGAATAGAGCAGGAAACTGTCTGGTGAATTCGTATTAATCTTTTGAACTATCAGGTTACCGTCTGATGCTGTACTTTAATAAAATAGGAATAATTTGTTTAACAGAATAATATTTCTGATATGATCAAGGAAAGGTCTTTTAAACGTCTAGTCGACTGGTCACTCCCATCCTTCATCTTCAATTGTTTCACCTGACACTGTCCTTGGTTCATGTGTGACAACAGCTCAAGTCTCTCTGTGGATCTTGAGTTCACCTACACTGCACTGGAAGCAGAGAGAAAGGGCTGATGATTAGGGGAAACTTCCAGTAAAGGTTCACACCACATTGTGCTTACCCAAAGTTCCTTCAGTGGAAGAATGTCTACTTTGAAATTAACGAGTCCCTAGAAATTTAAAACTTTAAAAAAAACGCAACTAGGCGTCACAGTTCAGGGCAGAAAGTAAACGTGCAGGGGTAAAGGCACATTCAAGCCAATTAAAAACAACTGAACCTTCATCAAAAGTTAGCTTGATGCTTGCTGTATTGCTAAAGCCTTTCCGCTACAATGTTCTCATAGAATCCATCGACAACTGGAGAGCATTTCCTTTGCCTTAATGTATTCCATGGTCTAACTGTGTGCTTTCATTTTAAAATCTCAAGCAGGTAAGATGATGCCGGAATTTTGCCAGAGGTTGTAACTGACCACAAAAGCGTGCAATCAAAAATATGTACTTGTTTTAATACCAGTTAACTGATTGAAAACAAAAAATAAAATATGTCTCCATTGACTATATTCACTCTAGAAAGCAACTCTTTGAAATGCTGTGTATTTGGTCTAAATGCATTGTAAATCTTTAAACATGGCTCAGTTGAAAAAGTGTTTGGATCAAAATTATATCAATTTATTCTGTCGAAGTAAGAGTCAAATTTTTGCAACCCAAATCAACATTACAGGAAAGAGTCTAATTATCCTGACCAGCCACTAAAGTTAAGAGTGAAAAACATTCACAGGAAAAATAAACCAGCAGCACGTTGCTAAAAGCAAACCTGAAACCCCCAAATTTGTATACAGACCCACACCTGCACATCGGAAAGCGTGTGTGTGTTTGCGGCTAATTATGTGTGCTATATTCCCAAAGTGCAGCTGTAACCCATTCACGTGCAGTGTGCGTCTAAACAAGCTGCATCAGAAGACACAAAAACAGTCACTATAGTACAGAAAAAACCAAGATAAGAATGTTGTTCAAACATCAAATGCAGCAGGTGGAGAAAATAGGTCTCCATAAAAAAAACCCCAAAACATTTTAAAGAACACAGTTTTAATGTAAGGTACACAGTGTGGTACTTCTTCTCTGAGCAGCGAAAAAATAAACAGGAAACTGATTTCATGTAGACTTTCAAACTACAAAACGCTTTCATCTTATTTTTTGGCAGGTTATCTGCACAGGCACAGATTTTCAGTTTTCAGCTTCCACACATAACATATTTTTCGGAACATAAGGCGCACTGTCGATGAGCTGGTCTGTTTTCATACATAAGGCACACCGGATTATAAGGCACACTGTCGATTTTTGAAAAAATTAAAGGATTTTAAGTGCGCCTTATAGTGCGAAAAATATGGTACACAAACATAAAAATCTTCATGTTTACAATACATAATGAAGATTTACTCTCATTCTTACCTTGACGGTGGCCCGGTGAGGAATGGACTGAAGCGGAAGGGGTTCCTGACGGTGGTCTGTCTGCCTCAGCACCACCACTGCTTTGAGTGACCCCACCATAGGAGTTGTAGCTCAGAGAAGCCTGATTGGTTTGGCTGTAGTGGGAATGGACTGCGTTTTGGGCTGCAGTGGAAAAGAAAAAAACACAAACAGCCACTGAAACAGCACAAGGACAGTGCTTTCTAAGGATACTGAGGGATAGCTTTGGGTTCAAAAATGCAAACATGTTAATTTATTCCCTTCTTTAAACATAAAAATGCATACAATGCACAAACAGTCAAAATGTGCTTTATTTTGGAAACTTACAGCAACAAAAAAAACTAAGCAGAAAAAATTTTGCAGAAAAAATTTAATTTGCCCACCAAACACTGACAAAAAAAACAAAACAAAGCATTTTCCGCCAACATCCACCAGATTTTCTTAGCCTATAAAACTCCACCTGCATTTTCAGAGAATTCACAATTGCAGAGTCTAGCAGCATTAAAATGTGACTTCACTGGGTACCTGTGCTTCCTTGACCATTCACTGTTGGTGCCACTTGGCTGGGAGGAGCCATGCCATACCCAGAATGCCCTGATGCTGAGGAGGCTGGAGGCTCAGCACCGTACTGATGTAAAGGTGCGCCCATCTGGGTGGTGCTCTGGGAGGAACTCAGAGTGCCATACTGGCTGCTTCCTGGAGCAGACGGGTATGAAACAATGGGGTAGAGAGGACCTCCAGGCCCACTCGCCGCCATTGGGACCAAACTGGGTTGTTGTTGCTGCTGCTGAGACTGCTGTGCTGGAGAAGCATGGTATGACTGTGGTCCATAGTAGGATGCCGGAGTGGTGTAGGGTGGATGCTGCTGGAATGGCTGTAGGTTGTACTGGGCGTTTGACGATGGAGGTGCTGAGGAAGGATGTGTGGCATATGGCTGAGAAGGAGGGGCAGAGCTCAGTGGAGCACTGTAAGGTGCTACATGATGCTGAGGGAGGTGGTGCTGTTGCAGCTGCTGTGGATGGTTGTTCTGGTAGTAGTTAGCACTGTGGGCACTGTTCGTGATGGGTGCTTTGCTGGAAACTGGGGTAGCTTGGGACGGGATGGTGGAGTAGCTCTGTTGCTGTTGAGCTGGAGCTCCATAGTAGCCTGTAATTGGATACATGGAAGGGTAGCTCTGTACCGGACCTGGAAGGAGGCGGGGCAGGATAGCAAAGCACATGGTTAATAAGCATAAATGTCGACTCTCACTATTATACTCCAATTACAGAGTAAAAATAAACAGAAACAAGAACAACTCTATTTAAGTTTTTAAGTTTTAGAGTTCTTCTTGCCGAGTGAAACATTTCCAATTTGCTCACCAGGCAGCGCTTTTTAAAATATTGACATCTGACTCAGGATCATACTTTTATTTTGAAGGGCCAACTATACTGAACAAAAATATAAACGCAACACTTTTGTTTTTGCTCCCATTCCCCATGGGATGGACGTAGAGACCTAAAATTCATTCCAGATACACAATATAACCATCCCTCCCAAACAGTGGTCACAAATCAGTCCAAATGTGTGGTAGTGGGCACATCTGCTATATTGAGATAATCCATCCCACCTCACAGGTGTGCCACATCAGGATGCTGATCTGACATCATGAGTAGTGCACAGGTGTACCTCAGACTGCCCACAACAAAAGGCCACCCTGGAATGTGCAGTTTTTTGCGCTATTGGGGGTCTGGGGACCCAGAACCGGTCAGTATCTGGTGTGACCACCATTTGCCTCATGCAGTGCAACACATCGTCGCATGGAGTCTATCAGATTGTCAATTGTGGCCTGTGGAATGTTGGTCCACTCCACTTCAATGGCTGTGCGAGGTTGTTGGATATTCGTGGGAACTGGTACACGCTGTCGTATACGCCGGTCAAGCACATCCCGAACATGCTCAATGGGTGACATGTCCGGTGAGTATGCTGGCCATGCAAGAACTGGGACATTCTCAGCTGCCATCTGCCCTGAACAATGTGAACCATGATTCATCCGTGAAGCGCACACCTCTCCAACGTGCCAGAGCCATCGAATGTGAGCATTTGCCCACACAAGTCTGTTACGGCGATGAGCTGGAGTCAGGTCAAGACCCCGATGAGGACGACGGGCATGCAGTTGAGCATCCCTGAGACGGTTTCTGACAGTTTGTGCAGAAATTGTTTGGTTGTGCAAACCAATTGTTCCAGCAGCTGTCTGGGTGGCTGGTCTCAGACGATCTTGGAGGTGAACCTGCTGGATGTGGAGGTCCTGGGCTGGTGTGGTTACACGAGGTCTGCGGTTGTGAGGCCGGTTGGATGTGCTGCCATATTCTCTGAAACGCCTGTGGAGACGGCTTATGGTTGAGAAATGAACATTCAATGCACGGGCGACAGATCTGGTTGACATTCCTGCTGTCAGCATGCCAATTGCACGCTCCCTCATTGCTTGTGGCATCTGTGGCATTTTGCTGTGAGACAAAACTGCACATTCCAGGGTGGCCTTTTGTTGTGGGCAGTCTGAGACCTGTACACCAGTGTAGCAGCATCCTGATGTGGCACACCTGTGAGGTGGGATGGATTATCTCAATATAGCAGATGTGCCCACTACCACACATTTGGACTGATTTGTGACCACTGTTTGGGAGGGATGGTTATATTGTGTATTTGGAATGAATTTTAGGTCTCTACGTCCATCCCATGGGGAATGGGAGCAAAAACAAAAGTGTTGCGTTTATATTTTTGTTCAGTGTAGAACAGGATTGTGTGGTTTTAATGTCACAAAACACCATTTTAGATCTAAGCCTCCCAGAAAGTTGGCATTTCAAAGACAAGGCACAAGAGTCAACTACAAGACCACGAGGATTCTAACTTCTCTCTGACATTTGTTTTCAATGGCTAAAAAGGTTTGGGGCACCAAACCCCTGAACTTCCACAATCACAGTTTGAACGAATATAGGGAATATCTCAGAAACACAAAACTACTGAATTATCTCCCTCTGTAGTAATTTAACAAATTAAAGTGTGGGCTCTAGAAAGAAAGACAGCTTCCAGAACTGCACCTCACATTCATATTTAGCTACAGAATGAATGCATTATCACACATTTTTGAACATTCAACTTTAAAGACGACTAAAATGTAAAAAAATTAATTAATTAATTAAAAAAAATAGAAATGATCTCTAAGAACACGCCCATTGTCCCCACCATCTTTAATACATAAATACACATGCAAAAATAGAATTAAGCTCTATTATCTCTCTTTAAAAATGCAGTATAAAGCCTACGACATACCTACACACACACTTTTCCAATATGCAAAATGAATATTGGCTAATGTCTACTTCATAGCTACGACAAATTAGAAATAATGGACCACAAAGTACAAAACACGCTTTATTTTGAGCCAAACTGCAGCCTGATTTTAAGATTTTATCCCCTCTTATTTGTTTACTTAAGAAGGAAATTAGTTGGTTGTATTCCTTCTCTTTTGAGATAAATATTTTTGCGAAGCTTTGTCCTGAAAACTGAACCATTTATTAGAGACGATTGTCTTTCCTACTTTACCCTCCACAAATTAGTTTGTTCACATGTGTTTAGATATTCTTGTGAAGCTTAATACACGTGCACGAATATATGTTAAATATGAAAATCTGATCACAGGTTATCATTTACTGTAAACACGCTTGAGCAGCCTTCCTTGAAAGGCTAGCTCTCAGTTGAAATAAGCAGCCTTCTATTAATAGAAAGTAAATTGTTTTAACGCAACTTCTATTAAGTCGTTAGCTATTGGAGATTTAATAAAAACAAGAGGCTATGGAGAGGTGGTGCGCAATCTGTCAAACAGCTATTTTCATGCTAACAGTTAGCTACCGTTACCATCCGTTTTCAATACCCACGTTAGCTTTTAAGTTAGCTACCTTTAGCAAGTGCTTAGCTTCAGCTAAAATCATCAGTCTTTTAATAAATCATGCACATAATTTACAGCTAATGCCAGCATCGCGACTGACAGTAAATGACAGTTCCAGTGTATAAAAAGCAAAAAGCAAAGCGAAGGACCGACAAATAGCCCGCCAATGGGGTGTTAGCATGCTAACGAACCATTCTGATAGGGTGGCGCTGCTTCGCCGTTCGCTGCAGAGTTCTGGCTGTAGCTGACGGAGCTGTTCAGGTTAGTGAAACCGGGCGCAGACATCGCTGGGTCTTCCCGTCCTTATGCCCGCGAACACACAGCTGACCGAATATACATGAGCGTCACTTTCTCGGACCCAGCCTTCCCCGAGAGAAGCGATTCAGAGGCTGCTACTGCTCAGAAGAGACCCGGGCAGCCTGGCCAGGTCCGTTCGGCTGAAAGCTGAAGCCTCCAGTCGGGATGTTGAGGAGCTTAGCAGCCTCCAGGATGTTGTCCTCTCGCTCCCTCTGGTGGAGTTTCATTTTGCATGTTTCGTTTTCTATAATGTGCACTTTTGTTCTACAAGTATCTTGGCAAATAAAGTACACATGCTTTAATTTCTGTATAAACAGCTATTTTCCGACTGCTGTTCCTTCTCTTTTTGATGGATACCTCCACACATGTTAGTAATCTCACATACACCTTCAACAGTTATTTACAAATAAATACCTGAAACATGTTAACACCTGCAACCAGACTGGTCTCATCTCTATATTCTGTGTTTTTCTCTTCCTTAACGTCTGTCAACACTACCCCTGTATATCTGTAAAAAAAATGTCTTGCTGCTGCAGTATCTCCCTATTCTCTGCTAGTGTACTTTCTCTTCCCCTTTGTTTTTTGTTTTTGTTGGGGGGGTTGCGCCTGTCCCACTTGGTTCTTTAGCCATCATAACTGTTGTCTGATGCCATTGTGGCAGGATGAATGTTATTCCTCAGTTCAACCCACTTTCGGCCTGGCGCATTAGGGGGGCGCTAGTATAAATAGTGGCCATTTGAGCAGTCCTGGATCGCTTACCTGTGATCTCCTTTTGGTCACCTGGCTGACTTCCCTTGGGGTTTATTAACCCCGATTCTTTTGTCCCCGTGATAGAACAGAGAAAACCGACTCATAGTGTGTTAAAACATTTATATTTCTTTTTATTCAATCATCTTCCGGAAGAGAGAGACCCCTGCACAGCCCAAACGCCAGTTGCAAGAGCTCTAACATTTTTAGCTCCACATATGTCTTATATGGTGTTATTTCTGTACTTTGCACGTCACACAGTTTCAAACATTGCTTATATGGCAAAGTTCCTCTTTTCTGTGTCTTATCTGTTAATATGCCTGTGCACTAAAACTCCCTGTTTTTCAGTCTGGCTGAGCACTTAGTTTGTGAGTCAAAAGTGGCCTTGCTCTACAAGCCTTCATTATTAAAGTACATAAAACAATCTAATAGGAAAATAAGGATACTAAGGATATTGATTTCATGACAGGTTGCAGAGATCATTTGTGGTTACCCTTCTGAAGCCTCCATCGCGGCTGGTAGGTGTTTACTCATTGTAGTGTGTAATTTACCTTACTTGGTGGTAAACAGATGTTGTTTTTAGGTCGTAGCTGTAGAAGCCTCCTATGAGCCACTCTGCTCATGTTTCATGACGCGGTTTACTCGGTAATTCAATTTTGTTACGATCTCTGCCTTTTATTGTTCTTTTATACTTATTATGCTTTGCAGGAAGTGTGGGCCTTAGTTTTACGCAAAGCTACGCTAAGTGAAGTGCTGCTGCTTTGCTTTTACTGTCTGTTCCTGTTGCGAGGTTTCTTTTCCTACTGCTGCCAGCCTTTAAAGTGGACTTCGGCGTGGACAACGGCCATATGCGTGCTACGCGAGTCGGCTGGCGTGCATATTGATTGGAAGATTAACTTATAGTCGGGCAGACGGCAAGTTGGAGCAATACCAATTCCGTCTGCCCCATATTTTAAAGTTTTATTTAGGCTGTATGTTTGTTCTTTTTTCCGTTGTTTGATTTGTAGTTTGGGTTTTTGTTACGCCACTGGTGGGAGGCCCTTTTTCTAGATGCGGATCACCAGTGTGTTCCTGCAGTTGGGCTATCCACAGCGTGTGAATATTAGTTTTGTTGTAATATATTAAAATTTTCTTTGTTTCTTTTATTCAGATGCGGAGTGCCGACGTGGAGGAGACTATGGGTGCCTTGGTGGTGGGATCCTTTGAGTGTACACACCTGCCTTTCTTAGTTTATTAGTGTGAGTGTGTGTTTTATCATTGAACCTCGTCTCTATACTGAGTATAACAAACCTAACTGCCTTCTTGGTGATTAGTGTTACTTCCAGTATTATCTGGGTGAAATTCTCAGGGTGGCGTTGTCTTTTAAACTGTGAAGAGTATTTACTTTATTCTCACCTCGTGCTGCTACACCAACAAAGACACCTAGCGGATTTACTTTGCCAAGTGGATCATCACGGCTTTGCCGTATTGGTCCGTTCGATCGACCTTTGTTGTTATTATTAATTAATTAATTTATTTTTTCAGCTGTTACAGACAAGAGAGACATGGCTGGGGGATAGAAAAGGGAGGGGGAAAAGATGAAAGAACAGAAAAATAAAGGGGAAGGGGGACAGTGAGAAAGGGCACTTAAACAGAAAGAAAATCTCCCGGATCACCTGTTGAGAAAAAAAAAGAGAGAGAACAAGCAAAAAAAAAAGAGAGAGAGAGCCGCATAATAAACACAACACCATTGCATTAATCTAGCTAAGTGTAAATAAAAGTAAATACTGAATGTTGTTGTGCAGCACGCAGGACCGACAGCGCACAATGTGATTTGAGGTAGCAGCCAAGAAAGGTGTGGTTTGTGTCTAATAGTGAACACCCGTGTGTACACCGACCGAGCCACGGGCGCCAGGCCCCGCCAAGCAGCCACTGGGAGTGAGCCGATACATACCTGAGCGCCCAGCCCCTTACATTTACATAAAAAAAACTACCGACGCCTGAGGGCATCAACCACCGGCAGGGAGTATGGTGAGGAGAGATAGGCCTCCACACTTTGGAGGGCCTGAAATGTTCCCAGAGAGGTGGCGTCTAAGACCTGACCTGACAATATAGACACAAACGTGCATTCCCACCCTCATGCACGCATATACAAATACTCAGCACTTACCCAACGTAAAGACAGACACAAATGGACACTGTACACACACAATCACCCCCCCCCCACCCTCTATACCCCAGGTCCAGGTACCCTCGCCCCCAGAGGGAAACCGCACCTAGACTCAGGAGATGTTACCCTTTCCCCGGGGGTTGAGGCAAGCAGACTGCCCCCGGCTCCGCAGCAGCAGGGAGACTCCGCATCCCAGACCCCAAACGGACAGCCAGCACCTCCTTCCAGCCCCTCCGCCCCGATGGCTAACAGAGAACGGGGGGGTGTGAAGACCCCATACCTCCCGCTCATGCACAGTGTTGCTGCGTGTTGTTCTAAAGTGCATTTAAAACACGGGAGGGCATGGTGCTTGCTGCCAGAGAGCAGCAGGTGTCAGCACGGCCCCTCCCGAGAACCCTCAATGTCTACATGCATTTAGAATTGAGAGATGGGCACCGGCACCAGAGGTGAGGTTGAATACACAGACCGTCCTTCCTCCTCCCCTTTGAGAAACACGTCAACACCTGCAACCAAACTGTTCTCATCTCTTTATACTGTCTTATCTTCTTCCTTAATGTCTGTCAACACTACCCCTGTATATGTTTTAAAAAATGTCTTCACACTTTGATCTTGAAAGTTAGACTCTTAATTAAAGACACTTTTTTTCATTTCCCACTGTAGAATTGAACACGTTCACCACCAGGGGATGTGTTGAGATGTTTTGGATGTCAACTTGTTTGAAATTTCTCTTTGTTTCTCAGCATTTCTTCAACAGACTTTCTTTTGCAGAATAGCATTATAAGAACATGCTCTTACATGCCTGACCACCTTCTGGTAGATATTAGTATTACACAGCACAAAAGCATAGTCTCAGATCATCTCCAGCTTGGGGTTTTGGAGAGAAATTTATACTGTAGTGGATGTTTCTGCATATCCTGCTGATGGTTTTAGTTTATTTTTGGAAAGGAATGACAGTGTAACCACACATGCTATGTCTCCTTGCACAGTCTTGAGAGTGTAGATACATCCTGTTCCAGTCTTGAGATACTGGGCCTTTATAGAGAGGAGAGTTGAACAGGTCCACATACAGGCATATACCCAGTAGAATCGATATCTGCTCCTTTGTCTGAGTAGGAACAGGGTGAAGAATGCCTCCTCCATCTGGCTATTAATTTGCATGTCTCTGACCAAATTGTTAGAAAACAAAACATTCCCCAAGCATCAATTGGGCCCAGCCTCCTTTAATGAGACATGTCCTCACAGCCCAGCCCTGTGCAGCTTGACTAGCCTACCAGAACAGGCAGGTACCCCACTCCTTCATGTCTGTCACATCACGTTTTCTTAAAAGCTTTATTTTAGTTACTGCTTTCATTTACTGCTTCTGTTGCTGTAACTTTCATGCTATGACCTGCTAAACCTATTATGTAACTGCATACTTTGGCGCTGTTTTTGACATGCATCTATTATTACATATGTTAAAGGGACATTCTGCCACGAGGCAAACAGATGCACTACTGCTTGTGGTTTCTTTAAACAACACCTGCAGTCTCAGTAAGCTACACTAGCCAGAGTTTGGAGAGTTTGGAAAGCAAACGTGCATGGATCCTAGTAATGCATGCAGATCTTGGCTATACATAGAGCACTAAATAATGATGCATCTGTTTGTCAAACAGCTTGAAAACACAAGAGACAAAATATATGTCACAGTTTAAAAGTACGAAACAGAAACATTTATACATACAATAAGTTGAAGTTGAGCTTTCATTAGTGACAAAATGTTCACAATATTCACATGATAAAAACAGATTCAGCAGATATTTTCTTCAATTTCTTCAATAGATTTTCATTAGTTAAAATGTATCTGACTTAATTTCCCACATGCATAAGTATAAAAATTCCTATTTTGAAAATCTGCCACACACATTTTACACTATGTTTATGTTATTTTTAAGCACTGAAATCTGATCATTTTACACATCCTGAGGGATTCTGGGGCGTACGTCAGTGCACTCGCACTCCTCTTTGTGATGTGAGGTCTCCTCGGACTGAGCCTGACCTTTGGTCTGGCACGTGGGGCAGCAAGCGGTGTGGCCGTCCTGTCTGCAGCTTGGACAGGACAGAACCAGCTGGCAGCAGTACTGGGTGGAGCAGAGCTTGTACTGGTCCCACGGATGGCCGCAGTACCTGCAATCTAAACAGAGTCTGTTATCTTATTTAAAAAATACATGTATATTAAGAGAATATTAGAGCTTATGGATGCTTTCTGGTACTTCTAACATGCAGAGAATGGGCTCTGTTTACACACTAACCTGAGATGATGTCACTGTTTGAGGAGATGGCG